GAATATTGGAAATTTTGGAATTGAGTTTGCGAGGGGGGGGGGGCGACCATATAAATATATATGAATTATTCTTTATAATAAAGAATAGGCAATCAATTCATGATTATAAATAAAAAAATATATATTCTTGAAATTTTATTAAAATCATTTTATTCCCGATTATAATATTTTTAAAATAATTATTATTATCATCAATTTCTGAATCCTTAATCAATAAATCAATATATATATATATTTGATCCAATAAATTAATATATTTATATATAATCAAGCCGACTTCGCCTACCTTTCTGAATTTTTATGATAATTTCGGAATAAATAATCATAATAATTCCCTCATAAATGAATTGATATTTAAATATATACATAAACAATTTCTCAAATAAGCGTATAAAAAATACACAAATAAATATATTATGCAAGCTATATAAATAAACATATAATCAGAAAATATATAGAGAAATATAAAAATAAATATATAAGCAAATATATAAATAGATATATAGATACACAAAACCCCGCACAGAGAGATCCAAATAAATTCTCAGATAGACATAGATACACGCTAGTAAATATACAAAGGGATATATATATAGAAATGCGCCGACCCCAGTTATCATAGAGAGATGCAATCCCAGAGATACATATAGAGAGATAAATAGAGAGACGCACGAAGAATGCGCAAAGAGACGCATAGAAAGATAGCGAGACGCATGGAGAAATATCCAAATAAATGTCCTTCTAAATATATATAGAATCACTCAGAGATACACAAACAGAGCTATACAAATACATATATCCGTAAAGATACAGAAAGATACCTAGATTCAGAAAGCACGGCACTAGAGCTCGCGATTTTCAAAAATACTATATTTATTAAAATATGATCTAAAAATTTCTGAAATTTTATGATCGCGAATATACCACGAAATTTCAATTATAAACACCAAGGGGCGTGCGCACAAGAAATAGAAATATTTAATACGACTCCATTTTATTAGATAATTTTCTATATTATTCTTAGAAAATAAGTTTAATTTATATATTTTCAATCTTAATATATAGAATTGATGCTTAAAAGATTATATTTCTCATGATATCGACTTATTTATTTTCTAATGATTAAGAAAAATATCGATTTCAAAATGCCGATAAAGAATTATAATTATATTCTGAGTAATCGTATCGTTTATAAGATTATGAAAGTAAGATCCTATTCATGAATTATCTATATATCTATTTTCAGAATTTGAATTATTCGAATAATGAATCTATTATGAATGAATTTGGCATGTTTGTATCAAGATTTCGATCTCGATCATAATATTTTTATATGTCGTATGAAGTATATCAAACCTAATTTTCAAGAAAATATGAAGATTAAAAAGTACGCCCGACCGTGTTTTTCTCTATTTTGTTGCTCTGGCTCTACCTTGGAGCCGTCATTTCTACATCCGTCATCTGGTTCAGGACTGCCTGAGAGCATGCCGGTGCATTGAAGTTCATCGTGACGAATCGCAGTCTGACTGTAGCTTGCCACATGAGTGAAATTGATAACGTGTCTGCAGTAATTCGACGGCCACCAATGCGAATTACTAATTGCTTCAACATCGATATGACGAGCTGTGGAATCTAACTGCCACAAGACGAAAACGAATCCTTTTGTGTTCCGGGACACAAGTCAGGTAGTTAGTTAGTTAGCTGTGAGGTTCAAGTCTTTCAATTATCCAGTTGTTCATCTCGGACATCGTCAATTTGATAGTCTATCTCTCTGGCAACTGGCAACAGCACTGACCACCTGTGGCAACAACGCACCGACGGCCCCAGCAAGCGCGAAGGTCAGTCCGGGGTTTCCGCCTGAAAGTGTTGACATGCTCAGCTTCTGATACACTTGCGGGTGAATTGATTGCAAAAGCCTCGTTTCTCGGCTGCCGCGTAGACCTTTAGTATTGAGTCAGCATGCATTGGTACAGTTTTTTGAAAAGGAAGCTCAATCGGCCACCGCGCGCCTGTCCATATAGCACAGGCGCGACGGATCCTGCAAGTGCGCGCAAATTGTTCACCTGAGTGTCGGCACGGTCAGTGTCAGTTTCGCACGACCGGACAACATCAGTCTTTCGGGCAAGCCGCCCAAGCGGAGAACTCGCCTTTGCCGAAGCCCTGAGTACATGAGATGAACAGTGTTCCTCCGCGCACCCCTGATACCCTATGCACATGCCTGGCTGGTCGCGATATCCTGCGCCACTGCTTTCAGGGCAGTGGCACTTGCACCATTAACACCAGGCAGCATTGGTACCTCAGTCTGAAATGCAACCCACGCTCGGGTAATATTTCATGGGCCCTTTGACTTGCTAAGGGGGTTGGGTTCATGAACACTTTTTCTGGCCGTTCGCCGGGAACATTACACTCTGCAAAGCTGTCTTTCGATGTTGAAACCACAGGGTTAAGTTGGGTCCGTTGAGCCAAACATTTATTGGCCCTGTCCATTTTTCTTGTTGTCGATCGTCAACCTTCGCAAGCAAATCGAACCCGATCCCGCCCGGGCCACAGAAATCGCTTGCCTTTAAGCGTATCCTAAATCTTAAAAACAACCCCACGGGCTTCTGAAAAGCAAATCAGCATCTGGGTCGTCACACCAAATTCAGACCTCCGACACTCACCCCATATTCCCAACACCAAAGTCAGTGTGCTGTCATCAAGCTTGTAAAACAGCAACCGCAACAACCACTGCCGCCAACTACTACTACTACTACTACTACTACTACTACTACTACTGCTACTGCTACTACTACTACTACTACTACCACCAGATCTGCTAAAGCTACTAATCCTAAAACTACTACTGATACTACTACTACTACTACTACTACTACTACTACTACTACTACTCATCATAATAAAGCTACTAAAGCTTCTGCAACTACTACTACTACTACTACTGCTGCTGCTGCTGCTGCTGCTGCTACTACTACTAAACCCAAACCCCTAAACCCTAAACTGATGCGTGCGCAGGCAGGATGACGCGTCATCTTGGTCGGAAGAATTTTTGGGCCTGCGGGGTCATCTTGGTAATCTTGGTCAGCAATCCAAGTGTTCAAGATGTCCAAGGTTCAAGGTGACCAAGATGACGATGATGACGCCCCCCCGACTCAAAAGTTCAAACCCGAGCAAGATCGAGACGATCAAAATCAATGGTGACCTTGCCCCCCCATGAGCGATCACCCCCCGAGCAACATGACCAAACTGACTCGTCATCTTGCCCCTCCAAGATAATCAAGATACCAAAAATGACATAGATTACCAAGATTACCAACTGTATCAGTCTTACTAGATGAAGTAGTAGTGGCATCAGCAGCCGCAGCAGTAGTAGTAGTAGTAGTAGTACTCGTACCAGTAAACTAGTACGAGTCCTGGTACTAGTTCTAGGAAGAATAAAGACAGTACTAGTAACTGTGACAGCATGAGTACTATGACTGGTATGAGTACTAGTACTAGTACTCGTAGTCGTACTATGTCCTCCTACGACTACGACTACGACGACGACTACTACTACTAGCACTACTGCTACTACGACTGCTACTACTACGACCACTACTGCTGCTGCTTTGGCAGCTGCTGCTTCTCCTCCTCTGCTCCCGCTTCCACTACTTCTGCTGCTACTTCTCCTCCTATACCTCCTACGTCTTGGACATTCTAGTGCTGTTGTCGCTACTAGTTGCTAGCGCTACTGCTACTGCCTCTCCTCGTCCTCCTGCTACTACTGCTCCTACGACCGGTACTCCTACTCTCAATACAACAACTACTACTACTACTAC